ACCCCCTATAGTTAAGAGATCTCTTACTGATATGAGGAGGATTCAGCCAAAACGTCCAGCTCGCTTCTCGTTCCTCGAAGACGCTTCCCGTCATCCGCCAACCGGTCGGTCGGGGGAGACACGCTTTCGACTTCGCGCCAGCACTGGAGGGATCACTACTCTCGCTCGCGCACGCTGCCTCGCCTCGCCCGCACGCGCGGCACGAGCACAACACCGCAACCGCTTTCATGGTGGGGGGTCTCCGTTTCACTTCGATCTCCTGCCAACCCCATCGGTTTTTGAGGATGTTTGGTCTGTTGGATGTGTCCTGAATAGTCTCTTGAGGACCTCTGGGGCGGCCTGAAGCATCTCTCAAGGCGTCTGGGGCCTCGCGAGAGCCGTCTGAAACCACTGGGCGCCGTCTTGGACGTGTCTCGGGCCGTTCTGGGCCGCCTGGGCGGCTGTCTGACCCCTGTCGGAAGCGACTCTGGGCCTCGTTGCGGGCGTCTTGGCTCCTTGGGTTTTGTTTTGGGGCGTCCCAGGGCGCCTCTCGGGGCGATCTTGAGGCCTCAGGAGTCCATCGGAGGCGAAAATGCGAGAAGGCAGACAACATATATTTCCAAGTGGTTTTGGGCAAATGTTTGGCTTGCCGGATGTGTCCCGGAAAGTCTCCGGAGGCCTTCTGGGGCTGTTTTGAAAATCTCTTACGCATCTGGAGCCTCTCGAGAGCCGTCTGCGAACCCTTGCAGCCGCCTGCGGGACGACTCGGGGCCGTCCTGGGCTCCCTGAGCGGCTGTCTGACCCCTCTTGGGAGCGATTCTGGGATCCAGTTGGGGTCGTCTTGGAGCCTCTTGGGCGCTTTTTTGGAACGTCTTGGGGCCAACTGGGATCAATCTGGAGGCCTCAGCAGCCCATCGGAGGCGAAAGTGAGGGAAAGATAATATCATAGATGCCCCATGGATGTCGACAGGTCGGTTGCTTGTCGGAGGGGTCCCGGTGAGTCTCTTGAGGCCCTCTTGGGCTGTCTTGAGCGTCTCCTAAGGCGTGTGGAGCGTCTCGAAAGCCATCTGAGACCCCTGGGTGCCATCTTGGGGGCGACTCGGGGCCGTCCTGGACTCCCTGAGCGGCTGTCTGACCCGTCTCGGAAGCGATTCTGGGATACCGTTGGGGTCGTCGTGGGGCCTCTTGGGCGCTTTTGGGGGGCGTCTTGGGGCCTCCTGGGGTCAATCTGGAGCTCATCGGAGGCGAAAGTACTGGAATGCTAATGTATCTCGAACACATCTGAGCATGTCTTGAAGCGTCTGGAGCCTCTCGAGAGCCGTCCGCCGTCTTCGGAGTTCCTCGGGGCCGTCCTGGGGCGCCTGGATGGCTGCCTGCCTTTCTCGGTGGCTCCCCAGGCCCCACATTCGTAGTCCAAATTGCGGCCCTGGGCCCGCAAGGCCCGGCTCCCCGTCGTGTGGACACGAGCACGCAGACACGCAGACACACAGACAGACACAGGCAGACACAGACAGACACAGGCAGACACAGACAGACACAGACAGCCACAAACAGACACAGACAGGCACAGGCAGATACAGACTGACACACAGACACACAGACACACTGACGCGCAGACACACAGGCACGCAGACACGCAGACACGCGGACACGCTGACACGCAGACACGCAGACACGCAGCCACGCAGACACGCAGGCACGCAGGCACGCAGACACGCAGACACGCAGACACACAGAAACACAGACACACAGACTCACTGGCACACAGGCACACAGGCACACAGACACACAGACACGCAGACACGCAGACACGCAGACACGCAGACACGCAGACACGGAGACACAGAGACAGGCAGACACGCAGACGCGCAGACGCGCAGACACGCAGTCACACAGAAACACAGACACACAGACAGACACTGACAGACACAGACAGAGACACTGTCACACAGACACACTGACGCACAAACACACAGGCACACAGACACACAGGCACACAAACACACAGACACACAGACACATACACACGCAGACACGAAGACACACAGACACGCAGACATGCAGACACGCAGACACGCAGACACACAGACACACAGACTCACTGGCACACAGGCACACAGACATGCGGACAAGACACACACAGACGTGCAGACACGCAGCCACGCAGACACGCAGACGCGCAGACACGCAGACGCACAGGCACGCAGACACGCAGAAGCACAGACACACAGACAGACAGACACAGACAGACACAGACACAGACAGACAGACACAGACAGACACAGGCAGAGACAGACAGACACACAGACACACAGACACACAGACAGACAGAGACAGACAGAGACAGACAGACACAGACAGAGACAGACACAGACAGACACAGACAGACACAGACAGACACAGACAGACACGCAGACAGACAGACACAGACAGACACAGGCAGGCACAGACAGACACAGACACAGACACAGACCAACAAAGACAGACGCAGACAGACACAGACAGACACAGACAGAGACAGACAAACACAGACACACAGACACACTGACGCACAGACACACTGACGCACAGACACACAGACACGCAGATACGCAGCCACGCAGGCACGCAGACACGTAGACACGCAGACACACAGACACGTAGACACGCAGACATGCAGACACACAGACACGCAGACACACAGACACACAGACTCACTGGCACACGGACACACAGACACACCGACACGCAGACACGCGGACTAGACACACGCAGACATGCACACACGCAGCCACGCAGACACGCAACCACGCAAGCACGCAGACACGCAGACACGCAGGCACACAGAAACACAGACACACAGACACACAGACTCACTGGCACACAGGCACACCGGCACACAGACACGCAGACACGCAGACACGCAGACACGCAGACACGCAGACACGGAGACACAGAGACACAGAGACACAGAGACACAGAGGCACAGAGACACACAGGCACACAGACACACAGACAAACATACACAAACACACAGACACACAGGCACACAGACACACTGACGCACAGACACACAGACACGCAGACACGCAGACACACAGACACACAGGCACACAGACACACAGGCACACAGACACGCAGACACGCAGAGACGCAGACCCGCAGACACAGAGACACACAGACACAGAGACACAGGCACACAGACACTCAGAGACACAGAGACACACAGACACACAGACACACAGACACAAAAACACAGACACACAGACACGCAGACACACAGACACGCAGACACGCAGGCACGCAGAGACACAGACACGCAGACACACAGACACACCGACCCACTTGCACACAGGCACACCGACACACAGACACGCAGACACGCAGACACGCGGACACGCAGACATGCAGAGACACAGGCACGCAGACACACAGACACACAGGCGCACAAGCACACAGACATGCAGACAAGACACAACAAGACGTGTACACACGCAGCCACGCAGCCACGCAGGCACGCAGACGCGCAGACACGCAGACACACAGACAGACACAGACAGACACAGACAGACACAGACGGACACAGACAGACACACAGACAGACACAGTCAGACACAGACACAGTCAGAGACAGTGACACACGCACAGACACACAGACACACAGGCACACAGACACACAGACACGCAGACGCGCAGACACTTAGACACACAGACACACCGACACACAGGCACACAGACACGCAGACACGTACTTACGCAGTTACGCAGACACGCAGACACGCAGGCACGCAGTTACGCAGACACGCAGACACGCAGGCACGCAGACACGCAGGCACGCAGACACGCAGACACGCAGACACGCAGACACGCAGACACGCAGACACGCGGACACGCGGACACGCAGACACGCAGACGCGCAGACACGCAGACACACAGACGCGCAGGCAGACACACAGACAGACACAGACAGACACAGACAGACACAGGCAGACACAGACAGACACAGACAGACTCAGACAGACACAGACAGACACAGACAGGCACACACAGACAAAGACAGAGACAGACTGACACACAGACACACAGACACGCAGACGCACAGACACACATGCACACATGCACACAGGCACACAGACACACAGGCAAACAGACAGACAGACACGCAGACACGCAGACACGCAGAGACACAGGCACGCATACACACAGACACACAGACTCACTGGCACACAGGCACACAGACACACAGACACGCAGACACGCAGACACGCAGACACGCAGACAAGCAGTTACGCAGACACAGAGACACAGAGACACAGAGACACACAGACACGCAGACGCGCAGACACGCAGACACACAGGCACACAGACACGCATACGCGCAGTCACGTAGACACGCAGACACGCAGACACACAGACACGCAGACACGCAGACACGAAGACACGCAGTCACGCAGACACGCAGGCACGCAGACACGCAGACACGCAGTCACGCAGACACGCAGACACGCAGACACGCAGACACGCAGACTCACTGGCACATAAGCACACAGACACACAGACACGCAAACACACAGACACGCAGACACGCAGACACGCAGACACGCAGTTGCGCAGACACACGGACACACAGACACACAGACAGACACAGGCAGAGACAGACAGACACACAGACACACAGACAGACAGAGACAGACAGAGACAGACACAGACAGACACAGACAGACACAGACACACTGACGCACAGACACACAGGCACAGACACACACAGACACACAGACACGCAGACACGCAAACACGCAAACACACAGACACGCAGACACGCAGACACGCAAACACACAGACACGCAGACACGCAGACACGCAGAGACGCAGAGACGCAGAGACGCAGACACGCAGACACGCAGACACGCAGACACGCAGACACGCAGACACACAGACACACAGAGACACAGACACACAGACACACAGTCTCACAGACACACGCACACCACACACAATTACACATGTACATACATACATGTGTATATACGTAGATGTATGAG